TCAAGCCTTGATATCCTTGAATCTCCTTAGAAAGGGCCCCAACAAATTCCATGTCACAGTCATAAATGCCCTATTAAATGGCGTGCTCCATAAAACTCCTGTAAAGTAAAATACAGATAAATCTGCCACAACTTTTTTATCCACATGTAATCAACGGGCAAATCAGGAAGAAAACTCCATCAAAGGACAAGACCATTACAAAAACGTGGCAGAAGCATACCCTACTATCATAAACAATAAACATTTTATATTATTTATTTATATTAAATTTTATGTGGTGAATGGGAAATGAATTTTAAGGGCCCACTTTGCGGTTTGCTTTAGATTTGTTTAGAATGTTGTACGTCAAATTTTGTTTTGAATTTGGAAAGAGGTGTGTTCAAACATCTCTCTTGAAGGAAGAAAGTGGGGGAGGAAAGTTCCTCCAAAATTTTTCTTTGTGAACAGTAGTTTTACTGTGGATGTATATTATGGCTTACATTCTTAATATGTTGTTTGAATAGGCAGAAAGATGCCTGGGCGCATGGGTGGCAAGCAACGGACAGTTAAGAATGTTTGGGTTTACAAAATAGACCCAACAAGGAACTTGATGTGGGTGAGAGGCCAAGTATGATTCTTCTATCCTTTTAATCTTTCTGATGTGAATGCTTAGAATATGAGTTAAAAGGCAAGTGGTTGTGTTCTGCCTATGTGAACTATTGATATGCTGGCAGTCCAACAAAATCCTGACACTGCTGATATCCTACTCCTTCACCCCTTATTTATCATTTATTTTTCTTGGGATCCAATAGTAATGTTCTACACAATGGAGGGATGCCCTCCCCATGACCATAAAACTCCCAATGCTGATGACGGTGAGATTTGATCTTAGGTCTTCGGCACAAAATGCCAAAAGATATGAGCTCACCTTCATACCCCTCTTTTTTAAAGATCCCCATGATGAATGTTTGAATAACCATCAATGGTACTCTACTAAGAAATAAGTTGATAGTTGACAAAAATATCATGAGATAGATGCATAGGAAAACTCAATCAATGGAAGTCTTTGCATGCTAGGAATTCCATTGTGAACAATACAGCCAAGTTGATATCAGAAACCAAAAAACTTGTGATAATTTCCAATGCCTAGTACTTTTTATTTTTTTGGTGCTAACTTATTTTAAGTCTTTGTGTATCCTTACAGAGACGCTATTCTTTCGCAGGTTCTAGGAGCTGAAGGAAACTTTGTGTTTATAAAAGATGCTGTTTACAAAAAACCAGATATTTCGATGCTTCCATTTCCTACATATTTTGCCCCAGAAGATGAGAACATAGAAGAGTTGGAACCTCTGGTTGCTGATCTCGGGGAAGTAGATTCGTTTATGGTAGCAGATTAATCAGAGCTGGGTCTGGGAATTCCCCAAAAAGTAAGTTTCCTTTGTTGTTAGGTTAACCCTTGACGTTTTATATTTTTCTTCCTTATCCATGTGCATATGCATATCACTTATCTTTGCCCTGTCTGTGCATAAACATCTCTATATTTGTGGCATGTGAAGTTTCTTTCTTGTATTTGATATATGTTTTGTCTATGGTGTGAGGTAAGCTCCATTCATCACTTTCTTCATTAAAATTGATCGTACGGAATTTCTTCTTCTTCTTCTTCTTCTTTTTTTTTTATTTTTTTTTTTTTTTTTAAATGAAATGGCTTAGGTTAGTAGTTGGAAAAAATTTCAACTAGCCAACCTAAGGGATTTGTTGTCTAGAATTGAATATTAGATGTAAAAAGGTGTGCAGTATGTGCTAGCATGTAAGGCTTGTGCAGGGGGCTTTTCCATCTCTGCATGAATATTGGGAATTTTGTATCTATCATTTACCATCTTCTAATGCAATTACTGTGTTTTGAGTATTTTGCTAACATGTTTGTGTTATTGGGTGAACCTCTTTAGTAGTTAATGATTGAAGGTTCAGTAAATGATTGGACATTATAATTAATTTAAGTATGTTACACTACAAAAAAATTGATTTTTTGCGACGGTAAAATGCCGTCGCAAATACTCAAAATGCCGTCTCAAAAAGTTTTTTGCGACGGTAAGTGACCTTTTGCGACGGCACGTGGGGGGTCGCAACAGAGGGGGTTGCAAAAGGGCTTTAGCGACGGTATAACGCCGTCGCCTTTGGTTTGCGACGGCAAAGAAGCCTTTTTGCGACGGAAAAATGCCGTCGCCATTAACTGTGAAAATCTGACTTTTTTTGAAACGGCACTGTTTTGCCGTCGCTAAAAAGGGTATTTGCGACAGCATAAGTACCGTCGCTAAAAGGTTATTTGAGACGGCACTTGTTGCCGTCGCTAAAGTTCTATTGGCGACGGCAAATTACACCATCGCTAAAAGTTATCATTTTCAACCAAATACCTTATCTTTTGCGACAGCATTACTGCCGTCGCAAAAAACCCCTATTTGAGACGGTGAATAGGCTGCCGTCTCAAAAAAATAATAATAAAATAAAATAAAAAATAATTTATATATCATATTAGATAGATATATGTGCTTGTGTATATGGTATAATAATTTTTTTTTTTTTTGCCTTTCTAATGATGAAATTCGGATTCCTGTCCCTATATATACATTATCAAAATACCTTAAAATTGATGAGAAATAATGGAATATTGAAGAACTTTGGCGACAAGAGAACTGCCCAAAAAAACATTTTTTGTTTGTCCACTTTTAAGCTACTGTAAATACTATTTGCGATGACAGAATAACCGATGCAAAAGAAAACAAAGATTTAGTCACTGTGCATTTTCTTTAAAAGGAAGATTTACATAAATTTAAGTATATAGTTAGTAAAACAAAAGAAAGTACATTAATTAAATGAATGAATGAATGAATCTTAGGTTCTGATTCTGAAGGAGGTTCTTTATTATAATTCCATTCATGCCCTTTCCATTCAGGCAGTTGTTGGATTACAACTTGCAAAACAAAAACAATAATTATATTTAAAATAAAATAAAAATAATTATAATAATATCCAGTGAAATTTTGAAAATCTTTTTTGCTTAGAAAATAAATAAGATACACTTTAGACTAAAGTTTTAAAATCAAATAATTCATTAAAAATGGAAGACGATGGACTACAAACCAAGCCTCTCGAATCTGGTTTTCCAACCGTAGTCTGACAAGCAAGCCTCCAATTTTTTGGATTCTGCAATTAGTTGTGTACAATTAGCACAAACATTAGACACGTTTTTTGCCGAACCAAGTAAACTAACACAAACATCACAGACTCGTAGAATTAAAGGTTTTTTTTATTTTATATATTTTTAGTGGTATATTTAGATGACTGCAAATGATCTGTTAAATACCCTTTTAAGTTTTTCCTTCTCTTTGTCTGTTCGAGGGTTTAGTAGCTCCTTCCCTTCAACGACCTAACAAAGACAAAAAAAGAAAAAATCTTTAGAATATAAAAAATAAAAAACCATCACAACACAAGTGATGCATTGTCACATTTCTTAACCTTCCACGTGAGATTGCACCAACAATTATGAAGCTATACCCAAATGATGTCAGTGATAATAACATCATTTTTATAAGTAATAATGCTACATGCACAACTTTATAGAAACGTGCGCAGAAAAATCAATGTGTGTTTCAAATTCATCTTACTTGGCAACACATTTACTTTTTTGTGCTATTTTTTTTTAAGAATTATGATTAGGACTCTGCTTGGTTAGTAATAATAAATTCGAAATCAATAACTCACCTCTACAATGCATGTCCCACAAGTTCCTCCTCCCCCACAATTTAGCAGAGGTCTGGACTGAAAATTCAAAACACATAAACCATATTTCAGCTATTCATTAGCTCAAATACTGCACTTTCAGTGTATCACTTTGAATAAATTGACAAGCAAAATTGATATAATGAACTAAAAAGACAAAATGGACACGAGCCAAATTATAGGAACAGTGGGTATAATTAATCATTTTTTTTTCACTTTCAAAACAAAACAATTGAGCCTTTCTTCACTTTCAAAACTTGTTAATGTAGTTGCAGAATGTGAAAAGAGAGAGGGGGGCCTTACTTACATATGGTCCATACAATTCAATATTAGAATCCAACATAATATTGCATTAGTTTACGACACATTTTTAATGCCTAAAATGACCTTAGTTTGCCCACTTTTTAGTCCTTTATGTGTTCAATACTTATTGACTTTAAGTCTGGACTATTTAGGTAACTGTTGAGGGTTCAGCTTGTCCAAATTCATTTCTTATTCAAGAAAAACCTATACAAACTAGGATCAGACGTTGAAACACAAGAACCTCAATCTTTGAATTTGATCTTCTTGAGTAATAAATTATTTAGAGATTCAAGATTGAGCAGTTTCAAAAAAATTCATGTACACATGCGCACTTAGTTCACTCTAGGCCATGTCTGCAAAACCACACTACGTGTCACATATTCAGCAAGCTCAATGGACACAGACTGAACAGCTAAAAGATTTACAAAAGTAAAGAGTTAGAAGTCCTCCTAGTCTAAGAGCATCCACATCAATCTAGCTAAAATCATTTTTTAGCTAAATTAGTGATATTGTTCATCAAAAATGGATGTGCATTAGTGATATTCCAATTGCCTGTTCTAGGTCGAATTGATGGATAATGATATGAAATTAATAAATAATATAATTATATGCACTGGCAAAACAACAATATATGAAGAGTAAGAACACAGATCAGCAAGCAAACAGTTTAATAATGGGGGATATCTGAACTAAAAGTTTAATGAGAACCTTCCAGATCAGGATATTTATGGCAGCTTTTCCAAATGTTTAGTTTTACTTCCTTCAGCAGAAGATATTACTTCCTTCGGCAGAAGATATTTTATAACCTAATTCAATACTAAAAATTAAATGCATTAAGTAAAAATCAATTAAATCCATTTGATAAATATGAAAGATTATTAGTTCGACCGAATTATTAGTTCAACTAGGAAGTGGCAGTAGTGGTGAAAGTGGTGGATAAGAGGTGATAATGGTGGTGGTAGTGATGATGAAGAAGATAAGTAGTGAAGTTGTGGTAGTAGTAGAGGAGATAGAATAACAGTGGTAGAGGAGAGGTAATGGTAGTAGTAGTGGTGGTAGTAGAGTGGTAGCGATGATGGATAAGAGAGAGAGAGACAGAGAGAGTCAAATAGATAGACAGAGAGAGAAGAGTGATGAATAAGAAAGAGAAAGAAAAGAGAGAGAAGAAGATGAAAAAATGGGTGAAAAGATATAGACAAAGAGAGAGAGACAGAGAGAGAGAAAAAAAAAGAGCGAAAATAGATAAATAAGAGAGAGAGAGACAGAAAGAGATGAGCGAGAGAGCGAGAGAGAAAAAAATAAGAGAGAGAGAAGAGAGGCAGAGAGATAAGATATATGAAAGAGATAGAGAGAAGAGAGATGGACGAGAGACATAGAGAAAAAGAGAGAGATAGACAGACAGATAGAGAAGAGTGATGAGTCAGAGTGAGAAAGAGAAGAGAAACAGAGACAGAGAGAAAGAGAGAGATGGACAGAAAGAGAAGAGTGATGAGAGAGAAAGAGAGAAGAGAGACAGAGACACATAGAGAAAGGGAGAGAGAGACAAACAGAGAAGAGTGATGAGTAATAGAGAGAAAGAGAAGAGAGACAGAGAAGATTGTATAATTTATAGTTGATGATTTTTTTTTATTTGGTAAAGTTAAAAATTTATTTGTTTTATATTTATTTTAATGAATAAAAAATTATTATTATTTTTTTATTTGGTAAAAGTAGGAATAATATTTTCCATTAAAATAAAGTTAATTTTTTGTGGTCAATGAAAAAGAGACAAGATAGATGAGAGAAGAGATAAATGAATGAGATAGAGAGAAGAGAGACAGAGAGAGAAGATATATGAAAGAGATGAGCGAGAGAGCGAGAGAGAAAAAAATAAGAGAGAGAGAAGAGAGACAGAGAGAGAAGATATATGAAAGAGATGAGCGAGAGAGCGAGAGAGAAAAAAATAAGAGAGAGAGAAGAGAGACAGAGAGAGAAGATATATGAAAGAGATAGAGAGAGGAGAGATGGACGAGAGACATAGAGAAAAAGAGAGAGATAGACAGATAGAGAAGACGACTTTTCTAAATTTTTGCTGATATTTCTTCACCATACCCTCCATCCTCACTTACCCAAGAGACGACAGGTGTCGGAGGGAAAGTCGGAGGGAGGGAAGAGAGGGTAGTCGAAGTTGAGAGAGGAGAGAAAGAACCAGAGGTTTCGCCATTTGTGAGAGAGACAGGTGGTTCGAATGGCATCAAGAGTGGGGAGAAATGAGAGGATGAGGTTCGGGAAGTCATTCAGGTTAGGAACGGTGGTGAAG